GACCCAAATGCCATGTGGGATGGACTGGTCCAGTCTGCTGCACACACCAGCATGTACAGGAACCAGGGCTGGGGACAGGCCTGGTAGAAGCTACTGGGAGTCAATTGCTCTGACTAGGCTGCAGTTTCTGCTGGTGTGAAGGCTGAGCACGTGGTTTGCAGAGATAGGTTCGGCCACAGCATCCTTTGGTTTGTGTATGAGATGGGGCTGGGGGCAAAACTGATCAGGCGATTGCAACCATCAGTCTTTGTGTAGGCTGATGTGGGTGATGGACTGAACTAGACCCTGAATAGACTGGCACACACAGGAGTCAGATATGGGATCACCTTTGGTAAGGTTTCATTGGGGACCCCCTACAACTGGACCACTGGAATCAGAACTCCAACCACAATGAAAATCACAGGATCTGTGGTCTGACTGTGGAGTGCATGTGTCAGAACTGGGTCTCCACAGTGATTGAAGTCTATACAGCGGATTGTATGCCCAGATGCATACGGGTGCATGAAAACCAGCTCATTGAGGCCTGAAGAGGATGTCTAGTATCATGCAGGGCAGAACTAATTGGATAGCTTTCCCAGCCAAGCTTTGACAGTGAGTATGGGGCATACTCTAATGTTGACTAAATCAGCCAATGGACATTGGAAGGATATCATCAACCTTGGGGCAATGAAATCAACAGCAGCTCAGAACTATCGAAACTGCTTAAGCAATCCCCTCAGGAGATGCTCCACATCAGGAACCCTGGGATGACTGCCACATCTCTGGGTGCTGATGTGTTTGGGCTGCTGGGAGCAGCGCTCTCCTCTTCTCTCTCCCAACCCCTAGATACAGGAAGGAAAAAGGAGATTGGAGGCAGGTATCTCATCTGTGTTCCCCCATTCCTCAACCCTCCCCATCCTAACCGGTGGTCCACATGAGCAGACACCCTTTTTAACTATGTAAACCTCATCAAAATACAGTAAATGTATTATATATAAAAAAGACCAACCCAACGTGCTGAAAACAGCAATAATCAGTGTCGTCAGCAAGGGCATTTGAAATGAACAGTCATACTAACCTCACATAAGTAACCTAATATATGGCAATGAAACTCGAAAAGAAATATTAATAGATCTAGAAACAGTATGGTTAAGAACAATGAAAACAATCAAAAGAGGAAAGTAGTTAATGTTTTAGGAAAGACTAATGAGGTACATAACTGCCTCAGCTTGGGAAATGGTTATTAGAAGTCAGTTACAGGGCTAGTGCTGTGGCACAGCAGCTTAAGCTTCCACTTGCAGCCCTGACATCGCATATGATCATTGGTTTGAGTGCCAGCTGTGCCACTTATGATACAGCTCCCTGCTAATGCTCCTTGGAAAAGCGGTGGAAGATGGTCCAGGGGCTTGGGCTCCTGCACTCATGTGGGATTTCCAGAAGAAGCTCCTGGCTTCTGGCTTTTGCTTAGCCCATCCCTATCTGTGGCATCCCTATCTGTGGTGACCATTCCATCAAGTGAGCAGATGGAATACTCCTCTTCTTATCTCTCCCTCTCCCTCTGTAACTATGCATTTCAAATAACTAAAACAATTTAAAAAATAAAAGCAGTCAGTAACAGCGACTCACATTTAGCGAATGCTTACTGTGAGATAATTCTACCACTTTTTATGTATCATCTCAATCCTGGAGGTAACCTTATTGGAAAAGCACTATTATAATTCTCCTTTTACAGATGAGGAAACCAGCAGAGTGAAGTTAAGTAACTTGTACAAAATTCCAGAGGTAGAAAGCGAAGGATTGGGCCCGGCATGGTAGCCTAGTGGCTCTAGTCTTAGCCTTGTATGTGTTGGGATCCCATAATAGGCACTGGTTCATATCCCTGCTACTCCACTTCCATCCAGCTCCCTGCTTGTGGCCTGGGAGAGCAGTGGAGGACGGCCCAAAGCCTTGGGACCCTGTACATGCGTGGGAGACACAAAACAAGCTCCTACCTTCAGATCAGCTTGGGTCTGGCCATTGCTGTCACTTGGGGAGTAAACCAGCAGATGGAAGATCTTTCTCTCTGTCCCTCCTTCTCTTTGTACATCTGCATTTCCAATAAACATAAATAAACCTTTTTAAAAAAGAAAGTGATGGATCAGAATTCAAATCCAATATGATTCCAAGGCCTTTGCATTTAATCACTGTAGTATAAACTATCTGGTAAATAAATAAATCTTTAAGATAAAAATCATATAACCACAATCTTGCTTCCTGAAATTCAAAACTCAATTTCCAACACATCACTTGATGCTTTAAGAAAAACACAACTCTTCTTCAATTTTTTCTTTTTACAATAAACATTCATCAGTTTTGTAAGGAAGAAATAGGACATCATTTCAGTATTGGAAATATTAGTTTATCTAACAATGAGTAAACTAGTAGAATTTGTTACCTAAAAAGTTGTGCTAAATATAAATAACTTGAGTAAAGATTTAGTACCTGCAACAGACATACTTCTTACAGAAACCTGTAATAGTCAGCAACATATTTCCTAGGGAGTGTTTTAGTTTTTAAGGGAACAAAAGTAGCAGACAGAGGGAAAATCTGCATGGGCAGCACAGACATGGATGGGTATATGAAAATACTTGTGTTGTTGTGTAGCGAGGAAAAGTTAATGAACTTGATAACATCCTTGATAGCAGTGTGCTCTCTATCAAAGGACTATCCTGGGAAACATGAAGAATCTTTACAAGTATCATCTCAGGAGAAAATGTTTTAGGCATTATTCTCACCTTCTGTAACATTTGCATAATTTATACATGGGACATATGGAGAAAAGTTGTTTCTTTTGGGAAAATTGAAGACACTTCTGCAGTCATTTGAGAATTTCAAAATTCTTTCTCAACAGCATTGACCTATGTTCTAAAATCTCAGGAAAACAGTGTTGTCATTAACTGTACCTCCCACAGCTAATGGTCCAATCTAGACAACCATGTCCCAGGGGACCCAAGGTAACTTGGTAACTGCAACTCTGAATACTTTGGCTTCTCCCTTCAGGGTGGAATGTAACCAGGAACACAGTTTAACCACTTACTGGAAAATCTGAAACAGGAGAGTTTCTCTTGTATTCAGAATGTGGGTAAAAAGGTTGAAGAGAGTGGGGATTTTAAAGTGCAATAGAGAAAGCAGAACTCCGAGTCTGATGGGGTCATTTCCCCGAAGTACAGGTTCTTTACTGGTCTCCACCCCTCCCCCACCCATAAGTAGATCTTTTGAAAAGAAAGGAAACACATTGGGGATCTGTTAAAAACCTTCCTAGTTGTGGAGGAAAAAAAAAAAAACCTTGCTAGTCATTTTCTGCCACATTCATGGAAATTAGGGATTAAAGCAGTAGAGCACCTGAAAAGACAAATTTCAGTTTGCTTATCCTTCAAGTTAAAACAATGTTTTAAGATTTTTTTTTTTGGTTATCCATCTACTGCAACTCACCACCTCCCAGGGGTGGAGAAGGAAATGCTTTCTTGCTGTGAATTCCTATTACCTCCTGGTTCTTCACGATTGTGACTTATAAATAAATACATTTGTAAGAAATACGTATACTGCACTTCACATTGATCAAATACTATGTATAATTTTGGCAAAGAGGTGAAGAAGTTGCAGGGGGACCACAGAAAAAAAATGACTATGACTTTTGTTAAACAGGATCCAGGCCGAAGTATATACAGGTGAATTTGACAAAATATGATAAATCCTGGATATCTTTATTTTCTAGCTTCTTTTGTCAGGTTTGAGGAAGCTCAACTTTATTAGGAAAATTCTACAATCCAAAAGAGATTAGCAAAATTGAAGAGTGCCTGAAAACCCACAAGGGTTTAAATTCAATTCAAATAACAGAAAGACTCTGCTGTAGAAAGCCTTTCAAATAGAAATACATGCATTACGTTTTTTCATATTGTTCATTCGGTAAACATTTATTGAAAGTATACAATGTGACAATTTATGTTCTAGGCACAGAGAAATGTCTGTGTTTCTGAAACTTAAGTTTCAGTGCTGGAAGGGAGAAGTAAACAAAAGCAAACATGATAAATAGGTAAACTGCCTGAGTTGTTAGAAGATGATATGGAGAGGACAGAGAGCCGAGATGTTGCCGGTTCAACAGCGGTGGTCAGGACTGGCAACTTTGAGCTACACGCAAATTGCACAAAAAGGTAGAATTCTGGTAAGATTTGTGATCTTGTAACACAGTCTATACAGCTGTGCCACTCAGCTGAGAGGTACTTGAGGAATCGATGTGGAGTTTGGGGGAAAAGAAAGGATGAATGCTGAGTGCAAATTAAATTTCAAGTGCCACACGATCACCCCCATGGGAACAAACGCCCAGCAGACAGTCAAAAAGTACAAGCCTGTTGCTATGGAGTTACTTGAGACGGATGTGAATTTGAAATCACAACCATATCCATGCTGCATTATCATGAGTGAGCTCACCAAAAGAGAGCAGAGCAAAAACCAGCCCGTCTTAGGGGATAAAGGCAAAGAAAAAGAAGAGTACATGTTTCACTCGATGGTGGGAGACAGCCGGCAAGTGAGCGCTCGGACTGCTACATCCTTTCATTTCCTCTCTCTGATCACTTCCTTAACGCAACCTAGTGCGTTAAGGGGCTGCGCTACCTCTCTTTTGGAGGGAAAAAAAAGAATTAACGTTTACTGAGTGTGTCCCCCGCACAGCAGTTGTTTGGGGCTCCAAATTCCAGGTTGCTGCCCTTGACATGCTGCCTCTTGGCTGGAACACGTTTGCCGCCTTCAGCAGTCCTTGTTCACAGAAGGCGGAAGCATAGCAAAGGTTTACTGAGAACAAAGGACGCAGCTTGAAAGAAAAACCAAAAGCAACCAACTAGAACACCACCGTCGGGGGTCTCAGTACAGTACAGCCCGCCTTTTCACCTTTGACCCAGGCACTTAGTACCCCGTCCCTCAGCCACACCCTGGTCTCCCCAGGCTCCACCCCCTCTCCCGCGGCCAGCGCTCATTCGCCGCCTCTCCTCTTCGCGTCCCCATTGATCCCGCTTTCCCAGTCCTTTACACCCTCCGCTCAGCCCCACCCCGTCTCACAAGGCCCAAAGCGCAAGCTCCCAGCTCTCCCGAACCCTTTTCCGCGTCCCTCACTCCTCCTTCCCGACATTCCCGTTTCCGCTTTCTCGCTGCTCCCGTTTTTATCACCCCTGAGACACTTCACACGCTAAGGTCTTCAGTGACGTCATCTCTCGGCGCCGCACTGACACCCGCCGGTGAAAAAGGGAACAGCTCCGCCGCCCTTCGCCTCTTTGTTGGGTTGCAGCTCCTTCAGTATCATGGCGCCATCGCTGTGGAAGGGGCTGGTAGGCATCGGCCTCTTTGCTTTAGCCCACGCCGCCTTTTCCGCTGCTCAGCGTAAGTGCTTGGGTGACAGGGACTGCTCCCATGTGGGACCACTGGGGACAATGTGTAGGTGCATCCCTACGGGACTGTCGGATTGAGTGTCCGGGGAACGGTCATTAGAGACGTTACAGTTTGGGGTGACTAAGACAAGCAGTGTTGGGGTCCAGGGTGGAACCCTTGGAGTTTGAGCTTAAGGCGAATGAGGCACCAGAGAGTGAGGGAAGATTGGAAGGGGGTGTCGGGAGAGGATTCAAGAGAGGGTGTCTATTCGGGAATCCAGGACAAGTGATGTCAAATCCAGCACGGGGCAGGACAGGCAGCAGTGCGGGACAGTGAGCTCCAGATGCTCATGGTCTCTTGACAGCTAGATGAACAGCATTCTGGGCACTCCCGAGCTGTCCAGGTGCAAACTGAAAAGTAAAATGATCCGTGACCTCAGGGTGACACAGGGGAAAGACCACTGGACTAGGAGTCTGAAAGACTAGTTAAAAATTTGTTTTACTGCTGTATCTACATGACCTTGGGCAAAGGATACATGCTACACTGCGTTATAAAATTCAGTCTGTGGTCACTGGTTGAAATTGCACTGTGCTTAGGCGCTAGGGATTCAGTGATGCCCGAAGGGAGTTCAAAGTAGTGGAAAAGTGAGTGAGTTGAGAAATAATCACAATAAGGTGATATGGATTCAGTGGTTAAAGTATATAAAGACGTGTGGAGCTGGGGGATTAAGTACCCTAGAGCCTTGCTATTACAAAGTGTGATCCACCGACCAGCCTCATGGGCATCCTCAAGGAGCTTGTTAGACACCCAGGCCCCACCCCAGATCTCTTGAAACAGGATCTGCACTTTAATAAGATCCCCGGTGATTTGTGTGCCCATTGGTTTTAAAAGTATAGTCCTGGAGGTGACTAGGATACACGGGGGTGCTGTCATTTTCTACAACAAGCTTCAGCTTTGAAATTGTATAATCATAGAGCAAGGAGGGCCCTTGGAGAGTACTGAAGTCTAATCCCTTCATTTTGCAGATGAGGAAATGCCTGGCTAAGGTAGTGTTAGACTCAGATTACGCTTCATGCAAACAGAAAAGCTAGCTGGGAATTGAGCAGACTGTAGGAGGTTAGTCAAAATCTATTTTTGGTATTGTTTTGATTTTTCTTTTACAACTGTATTATGATAAACCTAGTAAATTAAAATGTAAGAAATATGTATAAGCACATTGTATTTTAAGAAAGAGTGAATGTATGCTCAAAGTAATTTGAATGTTTTTGTCCAAAGTACATTATTAAATTGAGATAGTCCTAGGTTCATTTAGAATGAGGACTCTGTATTTTGTGTTTCAATTGATAAAAAATGCTTTGTGGGTTTGTCACTACAGTGAGATCTCCTTATAATGCTGATGTTGGGAAAAGACTAATATTTACCTTTGAGATTGTGTCACATTAGATTGTAGCAGGAGATAGCACACTATGGTGTTGCATCATTCTGAGCTTTGCCGTAATGAACTTTATTATAGAAACATGTTAACCATATACTGCATTTTATTTCATCTCCGTGTTATTACCATTATTACTTTTGGGGAAACTTTGGCATTGAGAAGTTACTGCATTTTAATGCTGTGAAATTAAAATGTGTTACAATCACTGAGTGTATCTTAAATTGAATGAGATACAACTGTTGGAAGAGCTGTTTGTTACCATACTCCATGTTTTTGAAGTTTCCAAGTCTGACCCTTTTCTTTTGTTGCTTGGTGCCTCCTGTGGTTGAAGCAGTAGCACAATTATACTGAAATAGTAGTAAAGACAGGAACTTATGTCCTGGAATTCCTCTTTCACTGCCCCAGAGTATTCTCTTAGGAGAAACATTTCTGTATTACTCTGTCTGTGTTATGTGGTGGTGGTGCTATTGCAGAGTTGAGATTTTCTGTTTATTTTTATTATTGTAATTTCTTTGACAAGTTTGTACAGTAAATAGTTTCTACTTTCTGCAGTAATGAAAGAAAAATTACGCTTAGGTATTTCTGCCTGATACTTGTCCACCTTTTTTTTTTTTAACCCTGTTTTATAAGGTGACAAAACAGGTCACAATGAGAATAAAATAGTTCAAGATAACGCTGGCTGCCAATAGAGGGTTTTGAAGAATTGGGATAACATTACTTTGTATAGCTTATAAGTTAATCACTTCTTTGGTATATTGATTTGATTGCATTCTAAGAGCAAAGAATGAGCTATACTTTCCTTAATGATATGCTTCTGATTTATAGATCGTTCTTATATGCGATTAACAGAAAAAGAAGATGAATCACTGCCAATAGATGTAAGTTGGTCATTTGTATTCTTTTAAATATATTTTTTAAAGCTAACCACATAGCTTATAGCTTCTTTTTGCTGATTTTGATTCTCTTAAAATTTTCTGGATGTGAAGTAACATCTGTTCCCTTTATACAAAAATTTTGCTCTGTATGCAGATTCTGTTTCTAGAACCATAAACATAGTCTTTCTGGAAACCAAAGTAGTCTTTCTAGAACCATAGAGTGGTCTTTCTGGAAGTTCCTCTGTCGATTGCATAAAATGGACTTAAAATTTTGACTGTTTGGCTTCTTTTTTTAAAGATTTATCTATTTGGAAGGTAGAGAATGAGAGCAAGAGAGAAAGAGAGGGAGAGAGAGAATAATTGCTCGTCTGTTGGTTCATTCCCTAAATGGCAGCAACAACCAAATCTTAACCAGGCTGCATTCAGGAACCAGCAGTTCCATCTGGAGCTCCCACATGGCTGCAGGGGCCCAAGTGCTTGAGCCATCTTCTGCTGCCTTCTCAGGAGCATTAGCAGAGAGCTGCATTGGAAACAAAGTGGCCATGATTACAGCCTTGCTCCTGGATATTGCATGCTAGCATCCCAAACAGTAGCTTAACTTGCTGTGCCCACAATACCGGCATCTGGGCTTTAGTTTTTTAGAAAAGTCCCTGCTTATATAAGATTTTAAAACAAGGAATACTACTTATACATTGTTTAGGGACACAAAGAGGTGATAAGACCAAAAAATTAGTATTTTTTAACCTCAAATGACATATTTGTGCTTTATTCACAGTTTTTATGTTTAGTATATTTGAAATTGCAAAAGTAGTAGGTTATTTGTAACAAAACCTGTAAAACTGAAAACTGACTCCACACAATTAAACCAACAAGATGCAGACCACATTCCTCAGACATTTTTCTCCAGCTTGGAGTAGACTAGTAGTTCAGTCTCCTTCCTATGCATAAACAATAGTATCTTTATATGTGTAGTTTTACTAAATCAAAGACAGTCTCTTAAATGTGCATAATTGTCAACTATAATTAGTTGATACATTTTTTTCAACAGTTTATCTTGACTATTCTTGCATGTTAACTTACAGGTTTACAGTATTCTTTGTAACAGTGCCATTGTTTGCATTGTGTAGAGTAAGTGTTCTTGGTACAGCAGTGATGGAAATGTAAACTGGTATTACCTGAAAGTAGATTTTAATTTAGACACAACAGTGCCTTGTGACTAATTTTGGCTGTAGTTGTGTGTAATAAGGCTAGTAAGTTCATCTCCTGTCACCTTTGCTCTTTGTGGATACACAAGCACATATGTACAGATGCTCAGAGGTGCAACTGTGTCTATTTTAAACCACCTCATTCTGTTTACAAGTTGGAAAATTTGGAGTCAGGAAAATATGCCAGAAAATATGCAGTGCAACGGGTTAAGCCACAGCTTGTAACAATGACATCCTGCCTTGGCGAGCCGGTTTGAGCCCTGGCTGCAAAGCTTCTAGCCCAGCTTGCTGATAATGTGGCTGCAGCTGATGGCTCAAGTGCTTGAGCCCCTGAAACACATGTGGGAATCCAAGACTGAGTTCCCAGCTCCTGGCTTCGGCTTGGCCCAGCCCTGGCTGCTGCAGCCATTTGAATAAACAAGCCCTTGACTGTCTGATGGCAGCAGATGACAACATGTAATGTGAGAATTGCGATATCTTCCTATAACCAAATACAAGACACGATGAAATTGCATAGACTACAACCATACTACTATAGCACAGATACATTTTACAAACATAATGTTGAGCAAGGAAGACAAGACATAAAAAGAGTACATTTGAGTCTATTTTTAAAAATTCAAAATGGGAAAAGTAAGCATACATGTTTTAGAAATATGGATGTGGCTGGTAAAATTGAAAGACAAAGAGGCTGGTGTTGTGGCACAGCAAGTTAAGCTACCATTTGCAGCATGAGTTCAGTTCCCTGATAATTGCACCTGCAAAGTCAGTGAAAGATGTCCCAAGTGCTTGGATCCTTGCCACCCACTTAGATCAGGGATGCATTTCCTAGCTACTGGCTTTGGCTTGGCCCAGCCACTTTTGCTGCCATGTAGGGAGTGAACCAGCAGATGGAAAACCTCTCTCTGTTTCTCCATTTTTATCTAATTCTACCTTTCAAATAAATAATTGTTTTACAAGAGAAGAAAAGCAATGAACTGATTAATACACAACTACATACAGTAGTTAATTTGAGAGAGAATCCAGGATGTAATTGAACAGGGACATTTGAGACTTGAGAGATAATGGTGGTATTCTGTTTTTTTTTAACCAGGTTGGTGGGTGTGCAGTGTTGTCTTTGAACTGTATACATATGATTTAGGTTCCTTATGTATGATGCTGAAGAATAATACAGTGAAAAATTCTTAGCTGCTCTTGGAAGCAGGTCATGTTTGATCATTGACTTCTGCATAACTCACTGGCATGGCAGTACTCCTTTGTTTTGCTTGTTTGGGCAGGTCACTAAGTTCATTTATCAAGGCATCCGATGTATTGTTGTCACTGAGCACAGAACTTCTAGATTTGTTTTGAGAGAAGTCCCTTTTGGAGTCAGAGAGGACTGTAAATGCCTACAGTAACATTTGTGTGCTGTTTAGTAATCTCAATCTTTATACTCGCAGATAGTGCTTCAGACACTTCTGGCCTTTGCAGTTACCTGTTATGGTATAGTTCATATTGCAGGGGAGTTTAAAGACATGGATGCTACTTCAGAACTAAAAAATAAGTAAGTCTTTTTTCGCTTTTCATAGGCATTTCATTGTATAAGGGTTTGCTTTATTTATGTAATTGAAAATGTGTGTTTTCTGGTACATCAAAATCGATTTTGTTTATATTTTATTTATGCAGTGTGTATGAGTAATGAAGTGAAAATATTGAGGCAGTGTTTGATATGATAGGAAAATTAGAAGCTGAATGACAGATTTAGATATTAGAATAAAATACTAGTTGTGGTGACCATTAGTTGCTTAAAATGTCAGGTGGTTGTCTGGTTGACCATAGACAGAACCAGGAGTAACCCTGTAGAAATACTAACCCAGCTTCTTTCCTCTGCTCCCTCCTTTCCCCGCTTTGTTCCCTTCCTCCCGCCTGCTCTTCCTCCATTCTTCTTTTTGTATCCTCTTGTTGCAGATTGCTCTCTGGAAGAATAAAGGGTTTCTGTTTCCTCTCTCACTTACATTTATGTTGACATACACTCTCCTCTCCGGCCTTTTCTATTCCTGAATTAAGGAATGTTTGCTATCCACTTGCTTTCCTCCTCTATACTTCTAAGCTATTTTCATGAGCTTTGTTTACTTTCTTTTGCATACTTTTACTTTCCTAAAACCATCCTTTAGTTTTGTTGAATTTTGCCTTTGGATTTTATTCATGTTCCCGATCCTGGAAATAATAACCCTTTATGATATTCTCTTGGAAGAATTTATGTATGTTAGAGAATTCACTCATATGTTAGAGGAAACCAAATCACCCTGGCTTTGTTAGTACATTTTTAATAGTTACGTATCGGGCCTCTTGTGTATCAGATGATGCTTGCATGGTTAGATGGGCTGACATTGAGACTTGAGTTTTGATCAAAGGAAGAATTATTTTGTTTCTTTCCAGGAACATTATTAAAAACAAATACAATTAAGGCCATACACTGAGGTGTTTGTGAACTTACTTTATTTAGACCATATATGTCTTATTGGGGGAAAAGGAAGAAAGGATATTCCGATTTGATGACTGCAGTTACAAAGAGTCTATGTAGAATCTCTGGCAAGGAGCCAGGAAAGAAAAAAGTAAAACAAAATGGCATATGAACTTGGACAATGGCAGGAGCTTTTAATTGTTGTTGTTGCTGTTGTACTTGAAAGATTCTTAGAAACCAAATCTGTGAATTCGTCATGGCTTGAATAGTGAGTACCAAATGAGCATAATCAAGTAACAGTCTATGTAATGTTTTTTGAAAAGACCGTGGAGCATGGGTTACTATTAGATTTACAGAGGTGATGAAAGTTGAGCTAGTATTTGCGTTATTACTCAGAGGCATTCTGGAAGGAATGGCTGAGTGAAAAAGAAATTTGTGAGTTAGGGAGCTGGCATTTGGCTTAGCAGTTAAGATGCCTGCATCTCACCTCAGACTGCCTGAGCTCGATTCCTGTCTTTGGCTCCTGAGTCAGCCTCCTGCCAAAGCAGGCCCTGTGAAGCACTAGCAATGACTCAGGTAACTGAATTTCTGCCACCTGTGTGGCAGCCCTCAATTGCAATCCTGACTCCTGGCTCTTGGATCTAGTCCAACTCTAGCCCTTGCAGGCATCTTGGGAATAAACCAGCAGATGGGAGCTCTCTGTCTCTTTGTTTCTCTGCCTCTCAGATAAAAGGGAAAAAAAGTAATTTGATGGTTTAATGCTGCCTTTCCAGGTTGTTTATTGTTTACCTATAGGCAAAGTGAAATACAGCATGGTTATCATTCACAGTCTGATTTCATGAATTTATACTTAAAAATGTAACCCGTAGGAAATGTGTAATTCACTGGAAACTTGTTTGTTTTCAGTTAGGCTTTTATAAAGATTACCTAAAACTGATGGCTTTCTTTTTCTTTTAAGGACATTTGATACATTAAGGAATCACCCATCCTTTTATGTATTTAATCATCGTGGTCGAGTACTGTTCCGGCCTTCGGATGCCACAAATTCTTCAAATCAGGATGCATTGTCCTCTAGCACATCACTGAAGTTACGAAAACTTGAATCACTGCGCCGTTAAGATTTTTACAAATTAGGATATGACAGGACACAAAGCTGAATATTGGAGTTTGGGGTATAAAACACACTCCCCCCATTAGTATTTATATTGATCTCTCAGACCAATTAAAAAAAAAAAACTATGGCCATTGTTTGTACATTGTTGGTCAAGTTCTTAATGCAGTATTGGTTATCTATGAAATGAATCTTTGATTGAATTTAATATAAGGAAATTTTTTCATTTAAGACAAATTCACGTATTTTGTAAAGTCACTGTTTTGAACACATTGAAAAATGTTGATGGTTTCTGTGATTATTTATTTTCTTAAAATTCTTTTCTTTTGCACTACAGTTTTTAGGATCCTTTTGGAATTACTGTGTGACTACTGCATTTTGCAGCATGAATTATAGTAAAATGATCTTCAGTTCTTAGGAAATGAACTTCCCTAATGAGACCAAAATGGTGACATATACCTTCTTCTTATATCCCCTCACAAGTGGCTCTGCTTCAGCAAATATTTGCCGATCTTTCATTTATCCATGGTTTCTGACTCCACCCCACTCCTGTATACTTTCTAGCATTGACTGTCTTGTGTAATCACTTCTCAGATTCTGTGTACAGTATGAAATTTTTGTGTCGTAACAGAAGTATTTAACAGGTTCAACTTGCTGTAAAACTATTTGTGTTCTCTTCCTTTATGTGTTAAAATGTGCTCTAAGTGATTATATAGTATAGGAATAGTTAAAGATAGACCAAAAGACTATTTGTGATTTCATTATCCTGCCTATGTAGAACAATAATTGTTGAGGAAAGCTGATTGCTTGTTGTTAATTTAATTTATTTAGAGTTGCTGTTAGCTGTTTTCATGCTAAACTAGTGAATTAAATGAAAATAAAACGTCTCATTAATCTAAAGGCAGACTTAAAGAAATTGGGCCAAATATGTTCTAAATATTTGGAACAAATTATTTAATTTTTTTTAATAAAATGCAAGGCCATTTGAGATTTATAGCAGGTTTGGAGTTTTCTGTCTGTCTTCAGTCTATGTTGGTGAGGATGAAGACATAGAATTAAATTCTTTTAGAAAGAGTAATTTTACTTTTAGAGCAATTGGCTAGCCTTTTGATCCAGAATGCTGCAGGAAACTGAATGTTTTGATGTAGGACATAATGCATTTTTGAATTGTACAGGTGTAAGCACATTGCTTTTGTTGAATTGTATAGGTGTAAAGGGAATGTCTGCAGATTTGAAAAGGAAATATGCTTAAAGCAAGACTCATAAGATGTCCTTATACTTGATGGCATTTTCCATTAGAACCGAACCTCACTCCTTCTGTTCTGCCTGGTAACGCACAGCCCCAAGGCATAAGATGAATTTGTCATTGCATTTTTTATTAGTGTTTTGTTCTGTTTTGTTTCGCTGATCTAGTCTTTCTGTGGAACACTGACTGCTCTCTAATGAGAACAAAGTTAGAATCTGCCGATAGCCTAAAATAATTTGAAACGTGTGAAGAATGTGAAGTCAGGTAAAAGTAATAATGAAATCAAAGTAGTGTGGAAAAAAGCAAGCTCCTTATGCCAGTTTTGTCTACCATTTCCTCAGGTATCACTTGACTTGGCAGAGTCTCTTGTTTTCTTCTCTTGCGGCTGAATTCCTTTCCTAATATGTTTCCATGGTGTTGTGAGATGTAGTTTGCCTACCTTACAGTTGACCCAACTAAAGGGTGCAATTCTGTGACTTTCAGTAAATCACAAAATTGTGCAATATTGGCCACAATCACTTTTAGAACTTTTTGTAGTCCCCACAAAGAATCCCCTTGCCCTGTAACAGTTGCCTCATTTTCACCCAGTTCTGCCCCCGACCCTAATCTACTTTCTCTCTGTGTGGGTATGCCTTTCCTGGACATTTAATATAAATGAATTTATACAGTGTGAGTCTTTTGTGAGTGGATTTCCCCCAGAGGCTTTCTATGTGGAGTGAAAAGTTATTCTTTATCTTGTGATTACTTATTGTTGTGAAAGGACATGGTTGGCAAAATTAATATATTTGAGAGAAGACCAGACTTAGCAGATTTCTCAGTTGATCATTTGCAATAGTTTTTCTTCATAGTAATCAGTGTATTACTTTACAATGTTTTCACTAGCTTCTAGAATGGATATTGAACTCTCTGCCTGCCCAGTTAGGAAAGACCTGCTAAAAATGATGCCAAATAATTTGGCTATAATTGACATAATAATTTTGAGTGTGCTAGCAGCTTGTATACCTCAGGCCAGGTGAGCTCACCTAATTTCTCTTCAAATTGACCCCAGTCAATTTCTGCTGTCTTTTCCAAGTATATACATAGGACTAAAGGTGATTCAGGTGCATTGTAACCCTGATAAATGTATTAACTATGGCACTTAATTTACAGCACAGTGAGACACTCAGTTACTGCCTAGGACAGTTCAAAACCATGTGAGCTAGCTAAGTCTGCAGTGGACTATGATTTCAATGACATTCAGAAGTGTGTATCAATCACAGTTTTGAGAATACAGAAAGACTCACTTGTTAATAACGAGGGAGCCAGCCAAATGGCCTTGTGGCAGAAAATGCAGATTGATGAATTGGGAAATCTTGTGCGCTCTAGCTTTGTACTGGTTGTTTCCTAAGCACTGTGGCACAACAGCATCTTCCTGGTTGTATGTGGCCTGTTTCCATGATGTATTGAGTGCTGTTTGTTGGGAGCATCAGTGCCTGTAACAACAAACTAAACTTATATTTTGGATATATTTTCTCTCTTTAAATGAACTTACCCTGTCTAATAAATAAATGATTGTCTCACCCTGTTTTTTGGTAGTGTTTTTTTTTGTTTTGTTTTTGTGTATGTGTGTTTTTGATTTTTAATCTCGTTTCTTCTTCTTGTCTGGCCCCAGAAAAAAATGTTACGAGCTAATTTCATGACTGTATTTTTCCATTGTGATTCTATTTTACTAAATTTAGTGGATATTTTATATTGAACTGTACATTTAAACTCTTAGTGCAATTTTAAGTTGTCATAGCCATAGTAGATTATATGATCTCATTTCTATTTCTGAAGCAGAAAATACCATTTGAGGTACAGGAATTGGTCCTTGAAGAGCAGTGTCTAAAATCATTTCGTGAAAAATTTCTTATAGAAAAAGGCAAACTGCCCTTAAAACTGTGACTTTGTATTTAACAGAAAAGCATGATATATAAAGCATAAGAGAACAAAACAGTGTAAGGAGAAGAAATCCTAGTTTGTAAAAGTTGGCAGTTACCTACAGTATTTTTGAAAACACCACCAGTATTCAAGTCTTCCTAGGACTACCTCAAAATTAACTGCTAAACCAGTGTTCTTATAAAAGGAGAAAACTACACACACATGACAAAACGATTGGACAGTACAGAAAGGCATAGATATTACAACTTTTGTTCTCCTTCCTTCGTACACTAATATTTTTCTCAAACGATAACCAATATCGAGAGTCTTGATGTTCTTACAGGACAAAAAGCTTTGGTTTGCCAGTAATCATTGAAAACATTTAAAAACCGATATCTGTGCATTCTCCTGTACCTTACTTTTTTTCTGCTGTGTTTTGTAAAATCTTTCTAGATCTGTGCAGAAATCATGCTTCTTAAAAACTGTGGTATCCCAGTGTACTAAAAATACTCAAGCATTAGTGAACTCTTAGGTTTCCAATATTTTATTAACTTATATGGCAGTGAACATACTTGTTCATATAATGAGAATGTTGGTAGGGTTCATGTATAGGAATAGACTTGTCAGATCAAAGAGTAGTTTTCATTTTCAGTTCAGTAGTTTGCTGAATTATCCTCTGGAAACCTTTGCCCCATGTGCTTGTGTATACAATGTATGAGAATGATTGTTTATGAGGCCTGTGATACTGGGTACTACTTTTTATGTTTGATCATGTGAAAGTGGATAAATGGTATCTTGCATTTTAATGAGGCGATGGAACACATTTTCATGTTTATTGGTTACTGCTATTTCATTTTCTGTGAACTGTATGGTCATGTTCTGTTTCCTATTAGATGACTTATTTTTTATTGATTGTATGAGCTTTTTGTAAGCTAAGGAAATTGGTCCATTGGTCCATTGTCACATGTTTAATAACATTTTCCTGTGTGTTACTGATTTATGTAGTTAAATTTATCAGTCTTTATGGCTTCTTTCCTTAGAAAGGCATTTACATTTATGAATAAATGTATTTTTCCAGTACTTTTAAGTTTTTGTTTTTACCCTTGAAGTCTTTTATTTCTTTGGAATTTATTTAGATAGTAGCAACAAAGGAAAGATTAAACATTTTCTTCTCCCAATAGCTTTCTGGGTAGTACATCATTTGTTCACATTGCTTCCATACTGATTGTAAAAACCACCTCACTCAGTCATTCAATTTGTTACAAGTTGTTACATATTTTCATATTTAGCATTGCTAACTATAACTTATTTCTTGTTTTAAAAAGATTTATTTTTATTGGAAAGTCAGATATACTGAGAGGAAGATCTTCCATCTGTTGATTCGTTCCCCAAATGACTGCCGCAACAGCTCGAGCTATGCTAATCCGAAGCTAGGAGCCCAGAGCCTCTTCTGGGTCTCCCACACGGGTATATGGTCCCAAGGTTTTGGGCCATCCTTGACTGCTTTCCCAGGCCACAAGCAGGGAGCTGGAGGGGAACTGGGGCCGCTGGGTTAGAACCAGTTCCCATATGGGATCTTGACACGTGTGAAGCGAGGACTTTAGCTGCTAGGATACCACACCAGGCCCTAACAATAACTTATTTCTCAGGATTTTTTTCTAATTGTTTTTGCATGTTTGTTTCTCCAGACACTTTACACTTGATGTTACCCAAAGGCCGAGCAGTGATCCCCAGATATTTCAGTATTATTTTGTGCAAACCTAAAATCATATTGATATTTTGCCCTACATTTTATTTTGAAAAATCCCAAACCTACAGAATACTGCCGAGCAACCTTCACGTCGACTCCCCCTTTCTTTTTCCCCACTGATTTCGCTCCTTTACCTCGGCTTTTTCTCCCTCTGGATTCTCTGAGGTAAATTGCAGGCAATTCCCCCAGGAGCCACACATTGCTTTAGTTAATATAGCTCTGTAGTCCACAACTGCCTCTCTGCTTCAAAGTAACAGTTTACGTTTTAGATTGCTACCTCTTTTCCTTTTACTCAGGAAGGAGAGAGATCTTCATGTGTTAGTTCATTCTCCAAGTGCGTGCAACAGATGAGGCTTGGCAAGGCCAAAGGCAGGAGCCTGGAACCAGTCTGCCACGTGGGTGCCAGGGAGCCTAGTTCGTGACCATCATCTGCTGCATCCCAGAGTGCATAGTAGCAAACAACTTAAAGTGGTGTGGAGACTTGATCCCACCCATCCTCCCCCCCCCCCGAAAAAAAGCCACAGATATGGGATGTGGATGTTACAAACTGTTCTTACTTTTAAGATTTATTATCGGGGAACTGGATTGGAATTTCAACAGTCTGGGCTTAAACTAGCTCCCATATGGCATGCTGGCACTGCAGGTGGTGGATTAACTTGCTGTGCCACACTGCTGCCCCTCCCTGCCAAGCAAGATTGTTAACCACTGAGCTAAACTCCTGCACCTAAAGTGATAGTTTCTAAAATAACTTTTTTCAGAGCTATTTTCCATTTATAGAGAAATAGGAAGATAGTGAAGAAGGGTTCCTACATTCTCCGGGATTTCTGTATTGTGAATATTTGGCATGATAACATTTGAGACAATGACTCCAGCTGTAGGCAACTGCCTAGATTGCCTTGTGTTACACTGTTGGGAGAAAAGCAGGCAATAGCTGGCAGGCACTATGAGCCTGGTTACTGCCAAATTTTTGTTGTGCCAGCATAGTTGCCTATTCTATTTTTTTTTTTTCAAAATAAGTGGGAAGGTGGAGAATGCCAGGCTGGGACATGCCACCCCAGTCCCCAGGAGGGGGCACTGCAGATTGCCCCAGGGAAGGGAGTCTGGGTATGTATTGGAGTGGGAGCAGCTGAGGGTATGTTTGACAGGGTGGGGAATGATTTCTGGGGGCTTGCACGGACGGGTCACTGTACTTGCAGGTAGGCGAGGGATCTGATTGGAGAAGTTTAGATGGGGGAAACCAAAGGGCATGTCTGGGTCAGGCCGAGGCATCCACCAATTGAAGAACCTGGGCTAGGCTAAACAGCCTCACCTGCCATCCTCTGGAATATACAGAACTTGGAATTAAGGGGCATGCTTGGTTCGGCTAGGCCACAATATTCACCCACGAGTGTTGGATCAGAGTGGGCCATGTAAGGCTAGCCTTGCAACACTCACCAGAATGTGAAACAATCTAATCTGGGAGCAAGTTCTATAGGGTCTTGTGACCTTGCCTCTATGAGGCTGCAGCAACCTGTCTGTGCGGACAGTTAGCGGTGGTGATGGGCTGAGCCAGGCTGGACCAAGGAGCTCAACTGACATTCACAGGGTCCTGGGTTAGGAGGGACCAGGTTGGGCCAGGCTGCACAACCTGATGGCACATGCAAAGGCCAGGACTGAGGGCAGACCGTGACAATCAGGGCTGCGGCACCTGTCAGCAGGCATGAGTTGCTGAGCTGGGATCAGACCTAGTACAGGAACTTGGTGAATTCCTTTTCTAGATCAAAACTTACACCTGGGAGCACAAAAGCCGGGGCTGGGGCAGGCCAGGTGTGGCAAAGCTGCCACACTCCTTAGCATTTGTGTGGGCTAGGTCTAGGAGCAGGCCAGGCTGGGCCAGGCCTCAGCACCTGCTGCCATATACAAGAGCCAGGACAAGGTGTGGCCATGCCTGGCTGAGCTAGGCTGTAGTACCTATCAGTGAGAGCCTGAGACATTGTGGGCCATGCAAGGCTGGGTAGGAGCACCTGCCAGCATGTGCACAATTCAGAACTGGGAACGACTTGGTAAGGCAACTTTGGGGGACTCCTTTGCTGGGCTGCAGCTTCCACCAGTGAGTGTGAGAGCTGGAGCTGGAAGCAGACTGAGCTGGGCAAACCTGCAGCACCTGTTGGCATGCCTGTGGGCTGGGATTGGTAGCAGACCGTACCAGGCTAGGCCCCAGTACCCACCAGAACTTGGAAGAGCCAGAATGAGTGTGAACAGGCTGTGCTAAACCATGATATCCACCAGTTCACATGAGAGCTGGGTCTCGGGGTAGGCCAGGGTGAGTGAGGCTGGTAGGAGCTGGAATGGATGCAGGCCAGTTAAGCTATGCCACAATACCCACTGGTGAGTGTCAGGACTCGGGGCAGGCCATGTCAGGCTGGGCTGCAACACTTGCTGTCACATAAATGATCCAGGGTTGGGAGTGGGACTGGTAGTTCAGAAACTTGGAGAATTCCTCTAACTAGGCACAGAGCCAGGGCTGGGGACAGGCCAGGCCAGGCTGGGCTACAGCATTCTCACCATATGTGTAAGCTGGGTTGGGGGGCAGGCTGGGCTGGGCCAGTCCAAGCACATATTGGCACAAGTTAGAGTCAGGATGGTGTGCAAGTCAGGCTGGGTTGGACCACAGCATTCACAATTCACATGATGGTTGTGGGTGGACCGGGTTGGGCTAGGCTGCTGCATCTGCTGGTGAATGCCGAGAATGGAGGCAGGCCATCTCAAACTGGGCCTCAGCATCTGGTGGCATACACAAGACCTGGTACTGGGAGTGGGCCTGGTAGGGGAGCCTCCGGGACAGTTGGGGTGCTGCTTCCACTAGTGAGTGTAAGAACTGGGACTGGGGGTCGGGCCAAACTATTCAAGGCAGTGGTACCCAGGGCTAGG